ATAATTAATACCACTAATACAAAGATACCATCAATAGTATAATTAATACCACTAATACAAAGATACCGTCAATAGTATAATTAATACCACTAATACAAATATACCATCAATAGTATAATTAATACCACTAATACAAAAATACCATCAATAGTATAATTAATACCACTAATACAAAGATACCGTCAATAGTATAATTGATACCACTAATACAAAGATACCATCAATAGTATAATTAATACCACTAATACAAAGATACCGTCAATAGTATAATTGATACCACTAATACAAAGATACCGTCAATAGTATAATTGATACCACTAATACAAAGATACCATCAATAGTATAATTGATACCACTAATACAAAGATACCGTCAATAGTATAATTAATACCACTAATACAAAGATACCGTCAATAGTATAATTGATACCACTAATACAAAGATACCATCAATAGTGTAATTAATACCACCAATTACTGATGGAATACCATAGTGATTTCTTCCATTTTTTTAAAACTGAACAGACAAAAACATAAAATTAGTGAAAATGATGTAATATAAAGACCTCCACCGTAGTTAAATGTGTATAAACAAATTGATACGTTATGGAGTTCCTCAATATTTCTAAGTTACTAGCCTAAAGAAATAATTTGTTTCAAGCTGCTACATTTAAAGCACAGCAGTAATTAATGGGAACAATATTCACCCCCACATTTCAGAAAATTTAGTTTGTAATATATTATTATGATTAAGGGATTACTAAAAAAAAAATGTACTAACCAAGAATCAGTTAGACAAAAAGTTGTAAGTGCGAGAAATTAGTATCGTGTCGAGTGGCAAGGATAGGTTTTAGAATAAAGAGTAACCCTAGAGTTTGCGGTGGGTGCTGTTTACTTCCTTCTAGTCTATCACTTCAAAATTAGGGACTGGTAGCGCATATATCCCTCGTGCAGATTTTGTATTTTTGACTAACCGAAATCTTCTAAGCTAGTCGAAACTCGTGAGGTATTATTGGGTTTATGGCCGAAAATATCATAAGCAACGAAGGTACCCAACTGATGAACAAGGCATTCTAATATTTACAATTATATAGTATAGTTGATTTGCTATATTGATGGCCGGGTTGGTTTTTAGTTTCACTTTGCGTACACAGCTTACTCTGATCAGATTGTGTCCTTATACTTAAATTCTAGCTCTCTTTATTTTACTGGTGTTTTTTGATTGTTTAAGTTTGTCTCAACACAAAGATTGATCACTGTCATAGAATGGGACTCCCGTTATCATATCAGTTTCCTCTGAACCTAGAAAAACAGAGCCATTAAAAACTTTAAAGTGTTTGTGTTCTATAATGTGTTCATACTTGTTTTACCAAATTGGTTTGCTTTAGACACTTGATTTTCTTGTGTGCCAGAATGTTTCTTTTTCTTTAGATGCGTGTTGTTTTTAAAGATCTGGCTTTCTTTAAACTTAGGCGTGAAGACAACGTTAATTAAAACACTGTTTTTAATATCAAGACCTGACACGTTTTGGCGGCTCTTGATTGCGCAAAGGTGTCTTTATACCCTTGACATTAGCTTTCCTCTTTTACACAGATTATACCATTATGCACAAGGTGAAGAGTGCAGTCAGGGATATCGAAACGTGTCAGACCCTTACATTAAAAACCGTGTTTTAATACATGTTTTATAACGCTATTTTTCTGCCTTAGTTTGATAGGTTTGAGCATGAAGAAGTCTGTATCTACATATTCTCTGCCACGTTATTTTGTTTTCTTTAAATATTTACCCCGTCCAAGTTACTCGGCTGTAAGCTTGAAGGTTTATAAGGCAAAAATTCGGTGGACACAGGACAAATAACTCATTGAGCAGCTTTATGATAAATGTAACAGAAAATCGTTAAACGTTTGCTATTCATTTCTATCATGCATAATTCATTTATTGTTTTAAAAAAATATTATTATTCTCTGCACATTTTTTTCTATAAACTTTTGCTTTTCTTATTTGCCAGAATGAATTTTCACTTTCAGACACTTGCGCCTTTCGTCTGTCACGACACATTTTCTCTTTAACTGGACACTTGGTCTTCTCAGGATGTAATTATTCTTTAGAAGATTGCTTTTCGTGTCTCATGGAACGTATATTTATTTACAGGTTTGTCTGGTTATATCTTTTCGGTGTACTTCCTATCTCAAATCTTATTGTTTTCCCAAGAGACCCGAGGTTCCTTTCGTGATCTTATCTTTTCTCATTTACACAGCCAAGTTTCTGATCCAAAGATGGCCAGCTCGGAAAGGAAGGTACCCATCCGTAAGACGGACTCCCACATCATCGACCAGGAATTCAGCTCCATCCGGGAACGTTTTGAGGCCGAGATGAAACGAATGGAGGATGAGATGAGTAGGTTCCGGTCCCAGTTGATGGATCGTGAGCGGAATTCTGTAAGCTCTAGTCAAAGTCATCGCACCAGCACCATGCATTCGTCAAAATCAACCAATGAGGGCACCGCGCATAAGTCCGAGTTTAAATCGTGGCTGGACGGGCTGGACTCTCCTCTAATCCACGAGGGAGAAGACGGTAAAGAACTGAAGTTGCGGTTTGACGTGAGTCAGTACGCCCCCGAAGAAATCGTGGTGAAGACTGTGGATAACCGCTTACAGGTAGGCTTAACGTGAGTCAGTACGCCCCCGAGGAAATCGTGGTCAAGACTGTGGATAACCGCTTACAGGTAGGCTTAACAGGTTCTATTCTAGCCTAGTCAGCGACTGTTTTAGTCGAGGTAGCACGTTCGGGCAGTTGTTGTGTCACGTAAGTATCATCAAAACCATAACACTGTGTCACAACTCGTTCATTATCTATTAAAAACACAGACCGTTAACCTATCCAACATTTTTTTTTAGTCTCGTGGAGCTGACTTGGCACAATTCTTGACAACCGAGTTTCTTCAGAATGTTACACTAATACATCAGTAATACATCATGTTTACAAAGTACGAGTCATAACACGTCTCTTCCTGACTTAATCAGACCAGAGGGGGTGGTGTGTAATTGAATTCTACCACATTACCTCTTACGCCTAAATTACTTGATAAAATTAAAGCGAACCAAACCAGGATTATCGATTGACAACAAACAAGATAACGTAGATGTGCGTTTATATTTACTAACACAGTTTTTCCCTAGTGTTTGTGTGGCTTGGTTCCATGGAGAACACTGCTGACACCAATCGTGTCATCTCGTTATATTGTTTCTATGTAAACTAAAATCATCCTGACTGTAATCTTACCCAAGTACATAACTGTTTACTAAACTCAACCCAAGTGCATAACTATTTACTAAACTCAACCCAAGTACATAACTATTTACTAAACT